AAGGGATCTGACAATACTTGACCACCAATAAAGCAATTAGAAAATAAATGTTATGAGGGTCTTTGTACGAAAACCAAAGCAAATGTCGTCAATTTTTTAACTGTAGATGACCAAAATAAAACCATAACGTAACATTAGATATGATTTGACAAAAAAGATAGTTGAGTGACCAAAACATAACCATGCGAATAGCTGGATGGCTAAATTCATAGTTTACCCAATATATTGAATCAAACTATTCCTCTTAACGAGTAAAATAATTTCAATTAATTCAATGGATTAACCGTTTTATATATAATTCGATTAATTAATGTTTAAATATTTTATAAATGAAGAGGCTTTGACATTTGTGGTACAAGTGGATTCACAACATATTTGGAATAAAGTAAGAGAACGCAACACTGTGTTCTTGGGCTTTTTAGTTCCTATGCTAAAATATAAATGCCAAAATAGGATTATCATATTTTTAATTTGAGATCTACGGTATTTGTTATATGATTTAAGGAATTCGTCATGTTGAGGTGACAAATTAATCTCAATATATATTATTTATTTAAACTTATTATCTCAAGGTAACAAATTTCAATAAAATATAATTTTTTATTAATTTTTATCATATCATGAATAAAAAATTTTTAAAATAAATTATTGGGTCGTCATTTAGTTTCGTATATTATAAAAAAATATTGTAGATCCCAAATTAAAAATCTTACTATTCTATTTTCTAATTATATTTTTGGGTTGCCGTATTGGGGGGTCCGTTCTCTTGGACTTGAATAACTAAAAACAAGGGGACATGTTTGATGAGATGGCGTTCGGTCCAAGGCAGAACCCATCTACAAACAAACAAATGTTTACCTTATATGGGCCTTGGGCTTTATACAACATAAATGGCCCTTCAAATCTTGTACCCACCCCTACAAACTTTGTCCACTTGCTTAACGAACGCCATGATTGACCTTTTCTTTTTATACCCAATATCGTTACCGACTAACATAATTAATTTTGATATTGTTTGTACTCAAATACATATTGCAAAATAAATTAATAAGGTTCAATAAAGCAACCTCACCTTTCACCAGGATTAATTAAATTCTTTGATTAATAAAAGTTATAAAATAGTCTATTGATTATAAGAAGTTGTTTTATTGAGTCTATCGATTATTAAAAGTTATTAAATGGTCACTCGACTATTTATTATGTTCCAAACTCATCATTTGTCATTAAAAATTTAACGGTCATTTAATTGGTTATTTATATGTTGACTGAATTATGATAATCGTTTGAGATTATAAGATCAAATTTTATCATATTTCATTCAGGAGGTTAACATACAATTCATATTGTCGTCAAAATTTTAACAGCAAAAGACGAAATTAGAATATAATTAATAGTCAAGTGACCATTTTATAACTTTAAATAGCCAAGGGACTCAACAAAGCAACTTCCTATAGTCAGTATGTATAGTTGCAATGATCATGCCTCAGATATCGTTGGCGTGGGAATCATCAAATTGAAGATACATGATAGGACAATTAAAGTTGTTCGAGATGTACGGCACGTGAAAGGCCTGAAGAAAAATTTATTATCCTACGGATTGTTGGATAATAATACAAGCAAGATTAAAACACGGAAAGGAATCATGAAGGTGTTCTGTGGAGCGCTTGTGGTGATGAAAGGCGAAAAGATAACAACAAACTTGTACATGCTGAAGGGAGAAACTTTGCTAGAAGCAGAAGCCTCTGTTGCCTCATGTAGTTCAGATTCTGCAATACTATGGCATCAGAAACTTGGACACAAGTCAGAACAAGGAATGAAAGTTCTTGTGGAGTAAAAGCTACTTCCAGACTTAACAAAGATATCACTTACTTTGTGTGAGCATTGCATAACAAGTAAGCAGCAACGGTTGAAATTCAACACGTCAAATTATAGAGACAAAAGTATTCTAGAATTGGTTCACTCTGACGTATGGCAAGCACCATTTACATCCCTAGGCGGAGTAAAATACTTTGTCTCATTTATTGATGACTACTCCAGGAGATGTTGGGTGTACCCTATTAAGAAGAATTCAGACGTGTTTTAAACTTTCAAAAACTTCAAAGCATGGGTGGAACTTGATTATGGAAATAAGATCAAGTGTTTCAGAACAGATAATGGAGGAGAATACACAAGTGAAGAATTTGATGACTTTTGTAGGAAAGAATGCATCAAAAGACAGTTAATAGTGACGAACACTCCTCAACAAAATGGAGTGGCAGAGCGGATGAACAAAACCTTGTTAGAAAGAACAAGAGCAATGTTGAGGGCTGCAAACCTAAAAAGTCATTTTGGGCAGAAACAATCAATACCGCTTGTTATTTGGTGAATCGAGCTCCATCAACTGCAAAAGAGTTGAAGATGCCAATGGAGATGTGGACTGGTAAACCAGCTAATTATTCAAACTTCCATGTATTTAGAAGTATTGTGTAAGTGATGTACAACTCACAAGAACTTTCAAAGTTGGATCCAAAATCCAGGAAATGTAAATTCTTGGGGTATATTGATGGAGTAAAGGGGTATCGCTTGTGGGATCCCACTGCTCGCAAAGTAATCATCAGTATGGATGTTATCTTTGTAGAATATAAACAACAAAGAAAAGAAGATGATGGCAGCGCTGAAAAGACAGAGACTACACATATACATGTGGAAAAAGAGTTTGAGCAAGGAGATTCTTCTAAAGCAGAACCATCACATGATGAACAAGAACCAGAGAGTTCTGAAGCTCCAACAACTCGTCAATCAGATTGTGTGAGAAGACGTCCTAATGACACTCAGATTATGTTATAGAAGGAAATATTGCATACTGCCTTTTAACAGAGGACGGTGAGCCATCAACATACCAGGAGGCAATAAACAACTCAAATGTTTCACTGTGGATGATGGTGATGCAAGAAGAAATTGAAGCCCTTCATAAAAATATTACATGGGACCTTTTGCCACTGCCACAAGGAAGGAAGCCAATTGGTAACAAATGGATCTTCAAAATCAAGCGAAATGGTAACGATCAAGTGGAGAAGTATCGTGCATGACTGGTGGTCAATGGATATACTTAAAAAGAATGTATTAATTTCAATGAAATCTTTTCTCATGTGGTTTTATTAACAAAAGCTAGGGTAGTCTTGGCAATGTGTGCTACATTGAACTTATATCTAGAGCATCAAGATGTTAAAATAGATTTTCTTCATGAAAATCTTGAAGAAGAGATTTACATGCTTCAGCCTGAAGGTTTTGAAGAAAAAGAAAAGAAGAACTTGGTTTGCAGGTTGAACAAATTTCTGTACGATATAAAGCAGGCGCCAAGATGTTGGTATAAGAGATTTGATTCCTTCATTATGTGTCTTGGATACAACAGACTTAACACAGACCTTTGTGCTTATTTCAAGAGGTTTGGTGATAACGATTTTGTTATATTGATGTTGTATGTGGATGACATGTAAGTTGTAGGACCCAACAAAAATCATATTGAAGAATTAAAGGCACAATTGGCTAGGGAATTTGAAATGAAGGACTTGGGATCAACAAACAAGATTATAGGGATGCAAATTCACCGAGACAGAAGTAATATGAAGATTTGGCTTTCACAAAAGATTTATTTGAATAATATCTTGTCAAGATTCAACACGAAAAATTGTAAGTCAATTTCTACCCCTCTTCCTATTAACTTTAAATTATCCTCCAGTATGAGTCCTAGTAGTGAAGAAGAGAGGATGAAGATGTCTCGAGTGCCTTATGCATCGGTAGTGAGAATTTTAATATTAGCTATGATATGCACAAGACCATACATTACACAAGCAGTGGGAGTGGTTAGTCGGTACATGGCGAATCCAGAAAAAGAACATTGGAATACAGTAAAGAGGATCTTGAGATACATCAAAGGGACCTCAAATGTTGCATTATGTTACGGAGGATCAAACTTACTTATCAAATGGTATGTCGATTTTGACTATGCAGGAGATTTGGATAAAAGTAAATCTACTACAGGATATGTGTTCAAAGTTGCTGGTGGAGCTGTAAGATGGGTTTCAAAATTGCAGTCAGTTGTGGCTACATCCACAACAGAGGCAGAATATATAGTAGTTACACAAGCCAATATAGAAGCAATTTGGTTAAAGATGCTATTGGAGGAGCTTGGACTCAATCAAGAGTATGTCTCTCTGTTTTATGACAGTCAAAGCGCCTTGCATCTAACAAGGAATCCAACATTTCATTCAAGGACAAAGCACATACGAGTTCAGTACCATCATTCGTGAAAAGGTGAAAGAAGGGACGATAGATATGCAGAAAATCCATACAAAAGACAACATAACAAATTTCATAACAAAGGCGATCAATACTAATAAATTTACTTGGTGTTGATCCTCTTGTGGCCTGTTAGAGACATAAGCAACATGAATGGTACAAGGTAGAAAGAATGGTGTGAAGATATGATTATTCCAATCAAATCTTCAAGTGAGAGATTGTTGAAAAGTCCAGCAAGTTGCCAATTGCTTTCGGTGCAAAACTTTCTGTGGAAAGTTGAAAAAAAAATCCCACCGAAAAGTAGCTGATTTTTGTTGAATTTGAGTAATAGGGAAATTACTCATTTAGTCCCTGAACTTTAGGATATTTATAAGATTAACCCTTAAGCTTCAACTATAAATACCCTAACCCATTTAAATTCAAAATCATCCCAAATCATTCTAGCTTTCTCCCAATACTAGAGAATTTAGAGAGTTTCTTGAAAGTTGTTTTCTCTTTTTTATCAAGAGATAATTATCATTGTTTTCTCCTTGTTATATAGAGAGAAGTTGTAATTTTTATTTTCTCATAGTGAAATTCTTCTACCTTTGCCCGTGGTTTTTACCCTATATTTTTTAGGGGTTTTGCACGTAAATTTTGTGTATTCTTTATCTTCAGTTTTATTTTTTCAAATTATCAGTTGCGATTTTGCTCTATCCAACAACTTTTTTCCGTAACAAAATGTTGATGATTTGGAAAATAAGTTTGACTATCCTCACGGGCACGGTAAGGCAAAGCGTCAATGGCAGGGTGAATATGTGGATCTTTCTTCATCCTCAAGACATGAATCTCAACAACCAATTCCCCTTCTAACCAATGGTTGTACGGTAGGCATTTTATGTTATTATGTACCTATTCATGCTAAGAAGTTTGCATGAACTTTACCATGATGTGATTATTTTTTTATTCTTTTAATACCCTTTCATCTGTCTATTGGGTGATCGAGCAGTGTTGTTCAATTCCTGAGTTTCAATGTCAAAGTTGGAAAAATCAAGTTATCCATTGGAGGTTATTCTAATCATATTTAATTGATAAAACCATTTCATGCTTGGTTGGTTTTGTAGGATTTATTAACCTCTTGTTAAATTTCATTTAAAACGTTTCATATGTTCACAACAGTTATATGCATTGCAATCTTGCTATTTCTTTTGCTTGTTAGCTACTTAACTCTTATGTATAGCCCCACATGTTTTGGTTAAATCATAAGAAAAGCTTTTTGTATTATGGAAAGTAACTAGCTTTTGCTAATAGTCTCTGGTGATTTATGCTTTCTGTTACTTAAATGGTCATTTCTTTCTAACTGATAGGTCAACATTTTCAGGTTTTTGGAGAAATTGCTACACCTGATAATCAATCCGTGCGAATGACATCGGGTCCTTTGGACCCTTCTGAAAAGAATGTTAGTTCGTCACCTTATGTTGACCCAAGGCAACCAGGTAATTACGTTATTGTGTTTGTTTAGAAGACACCCCCTGAAGGGTTTATTGAATTGCTAATGCATCTGTTCTTGTAGTTCCTGTGAGAATTGTGGATCCAACAAAGGACTTGAATTCTTATGGCCTTGGGAATGTTGATTGGAAGGAAAGGGTTGAAAGTTGGAAACTCAAACAGGATAAAAATGTGTTGCATATGAACAATAAATACACTGAAGAGAAGGGAGATCTAGAAGGAACTGGTTCAAATGGAGAGGAACTGGTTCAAATGGAGAGGAACTGCAAATGTAAGTTTATCTTGACTAGAATAAGACCTAAATCAGTTTACTATGTTCCTTTGAGTGCTTGTATATATCTTTAGGACCTTATAAATTTCATTAAGTTTATATTTTTCATCTTCAATTTTGTTTTTTTTAACTCATATTTTTTGGTTAAATTTGATTTTGGTGTATTGTCAGTGTCATATTTCTCTAGATGCAAATTGTGTTAATTCATTTTGACTAGACATCATTGATATGTTTTTTTGCTCAGTTGATGTCATCTATGCATTTCACATTTTCATTTCTTTTTCAAGTTTAACAGTTCTTGTTCTGCAGAGCTGACGATGCTCGTCAACCTTTGATTCGTGTGGTGCCAATTTCTTCCTCTCACCTGACCCCTTAGGGTGTGTTTGGATGGGAGAACGTGGGATTTTCATGGGAATGAAATCCACATTCCCCCGTTTGATTTGCTCGAGAATCTCATTCCCGGTAATGTAAGATTACCAATAGTGGATTTTTGGGGTATATTACCGGGAATGTCATTACCTCCATTTCTTTAGGTATTATTTTTGGACTAAAATACCCTTAAATTTTTTTTAAATATCATTTTTCTGTCATTGAATAATAAAAATTCTACGATGTTAAATTACAAATTTATCCTTAAACTATTTTAGATTTACAAAAAAATTCTATAATTAAAATTTTATATGAAGTTCAGGGGTTAAAAATTTTTTTACCCTTTCATTAAACTTTTTTATATTTTTAATTTTGTAAAAAAATTATATAAATTTTATAAATTTAAATTTTTTAAAGAAAATATATAAATATTTTTCAACTTGTTAAAAAATATATAATAAGAATAATTTGGTCAAATATTCATTTCAATAATCATTTATTCTTTTAACCAAACACAGTAATCTTACATTCCTGCTAAACTAACCAAACACAAAATACAACATTCCCAGTGATCCTATTCCCTGGTAATCTTACATTCCCACTGATAATCTTTCATTCCGTGAACCAAATGCACCCTTAGCGTGTTGTCATCATTCTTCGTCTCATCATTTTGGGTTTTTTCTTGCAATATCGTGCAACACATCCAGTGAAAGATGCATATCCATTGTGGCTAACATCTGTTATCTGTGAGATTTGGTTTGCCTTATCATGGCTACTAGATCAGTTTCCAAAATGGTATCCCATAAATCGTGAGACCTACCTTGACAGGCTAGCTTTGAGGTCAGTTCTGTTATTTCATTGATGGATTATTTCTTTTGAGGCTGGCAAACTACCTTGCTCCCTCTCTGTCTGCTTGTGTGTGTTTGTTATGCTGTCTGTTATCACACTATTAATAGTGATTGGCTCTATTTTCTAGATATGACCGAGATGGGGAACCATCACAACTAGCCCCTGTAGATGTTTTTGTCAGTACTGTAGATCCAGTCAAAGAGCCTCCCCTTGTCACTGCAAACACCGTCTTGTCAATCCTTGCAGTCGGTTATCCCGTGGACAAAGTAACCTGCTATGTTTCAGATGATGGTTCAACTATGTTGACTTTTGAAGCCCTCTCTGAAATTGCAGAGTTTGCAAGGAAGTGGGCGCCTTTTGCAAGAAGCACAACATAGAGCCTAGAGCTCCTGAGTTTTTTTTTTATAAGAAGAGAAGACCTCATTAAAATTACCTTTAAGATTAATGAAACATTACAAATCCCTTAATCAATAGAAGGAGAAAAAGAGTACTTAAACTAGTATCAAAGCATACATAACTCGTGAGCAGCAAATTTTGACTATTAATGACACAACCCAAGAGAGACTGAAACTAGCTTATATCATGTCAAACCAGGAACTTCAGCCAGAAGTGTGAAGTTTAGTTTAGTAGCTTATATCTTGAATCTCATGATCCAGAAATGCAACTTATTTATTCTTCCTTTAAATTCAACTAACCTAAGATTGGAAATCAGCCTTAAACCTAACACTTAAGACAATAAACTAACTTATCTGACCCACCAGCACAAATCTAATCTATAAATATTGAACACAAGTAAAACTGTATTTGTTGAAGTTGCTCTTTTATAAATATATTTTCTGCTCCTAGTGCACACGTCATTGCATATATAGCCCATTCCAAATTGATTGGACAGTTAGCCATTCTTTCCCGCAAATAACTAGAAGTTAATAAAACTATTCAACGCTCAACTTTTTTGTTACTTCTACAACTCGCTTTGCTAATTATCAAGTAACAGAATGTAGCTAATAAAACAAACATAGACGAAATGTCATAACCATTTCTTTTAGGTAATACAATTAATTATTATTTAAAAAAAATGATTATGACTTTAATTTGGAAAAATTGGTGATTTGGAATTAAATTGAATAGAGTCGCCATCGACCTTTGGGTTAGGTAGGTCGAATACCTAAAAACGTCTTTTAAAACAATTTTAAAAAAAATCATTTTGAAGACGAAAATGGTCTGCGTTTACCAAAGATTCGATTAAAAACGGTTCGGGAGTTGGTTATGCATGGGGAAGGATAAGCACCCCCACAACGCCCAAAATTGGTACTGAAATCGCTTACACATTGTCATAAATGGTAGAAATTAAAAATCGAATATAAAGTTAAAATACGATCTATTTATCGAACATTGATTAATTTGCTTCAAATTAATTATTTAAAGAAAATCCTTTAACTCGATAAAAAATCTTGAAATTAGCAATCCTCCTTCGGGAAAACTATTTCAACTATTTTTCATTGTTAAAGAATATTCTATCATCGAATTTGTAAAAGATGCATATCGAATATAAATTGCAATTTGACAGTTGTGCAAAATAAAATAAAATACATAACTTGCATTGTTTAGTGCAAAATAAAAATGAATTAACAATTAAAAAACAAAAAAAAATGATTTATTTCAAGTTCCATTTAGTTCGAACGTCGTATTACATTATACCACTTCGATCAAGTGATACTTTCTATGCCCGTTCTACAAATACCAATCTCGAAACATATTCATACAATATTTAAATAAAGAAATACAATGGAAACAAATATAAATAAAATATGCGAAACAAAATATTTATAACAAATAAAGTTAAACATATTTATTCACATATGATGTAAATAAATACATAACGTAAAAATATGTACATACGAAAGGGATTGACATAAACCCAAATCAATATTATAATTACCCAATAAAATGATCAAAAAGTAAATATTTATAATTACAAGGACTAACATGGTAATAATAACAACTTAAAGAGCTAAAATAGCAAAAATAGAAAATTAGAGGTCTAAAATAGTAATTACAGAAACTTAGAGGCTAAACCAGCACAAAACAGAAACCTAAGGACTAAAAAGTGAAAATAGGAAAATAAGGGACTACAATAGCAAAAACAGAAAGTTAAAGGACTAAAATAAAATTTCACAGAAACTTGGAGGATTAAAAAGTAATTACACCAAAAATGCTAAAACAATGACTAAAATAAAATATTTACAAATATGGTGGCCAAATTCGAATGACACAGATTATAAAATACATGGAATCAGTGATCAAATTAAAATATTCGAAAATATTAAATCCAGAATCAAATATAGACAAAAATTATATAAACATGGATAGTGACTAAAATAATAAATTTACAAAACCATGGCTAAATTCAAATATTAAGAAAATATAACACATTAAATCAGTGACTAGAATGAAGTAATCACAATTAATATGACCAATGTCAGATTTAAACAAACATGGTAAACTAAACAAACTAGTGGCTTAAATATAAATGCTTAAATATAAATGCTGAAATGTAAGTGCTCGAGATAAAATATCACACAATTTCATTAATTACTAGAATAAAATAATACAAACAGAGAATGACTTAAACCGTGATTTACCCTGAAAATAAATAATAAATATGGGTAAGATTACAAAAGGTAGGGACCAAAATGTGATTTACCCCCAAACATCAAGAACACGCGTGTGAGGTTACAAAGTTACAAGGACTATTCCTACAATAAACCCCAAACCTAAACATGCTGAAACCCTCTCCCTACAAACGACGTCGTTCGACTGAGCATTTATAAACCAACTTAAGGGTTTAGAAAACCCTAATATTTCATTTCTCTCTTTCTCAGCCATTTGGCTACCCCTCCCCTTCTCATCTTTCCTTCTCCCCTCTGCCTAAAACAGAGGCCCTAACTCCTCGACCACCGTAGAACGGTGGCCACGGGGAGTAACCCATACCCAGAGAAGGTTCTCTCGCCCCTAGAGCTACCCTCGCTGACCTAAACCCAGAGAAACCCTTTAGTTTCGAACCCAACAAGCCCTAGAACAGAGACAAGTTTTTTCTACCTTCGGTGAGGGACGTTTGGCTCCGATGAAGCCTCCACAATCGAATCTATAAGGTATGTTTCTATTTTCTTTTACCTCATTTCTTTTTCTTCTTCTTATTTTGCTTTTTGTTTTCCCCAAAACTCGAATGCCTCCTTATTTTCTCTTTATTTTCTATTTTTTTTCAAACCCAACTGAATGCTCCTTCCATCGTTGCTTCTCTCTTTTATGTTGATGCGTGACTGATGGTTTTGTTGCCAGATAACATAGGGTCAACAGAGGCTAGATGTACTTTAGGATATCATTTAGATTTTTTTCATTATTTATTGGGTTTTTATGATTTCGAATTGACTTGCTTTTCTATGTGACTGATTGGTGCTTGTTATGTCACTATTCGGTCAGAACTATCGACGGTGGCGTCAGAGGCGGTCGATAATGGAGAGGTTCAGCTTGAGTGGCAGCAGAGTTGGCGTTGGTGGCTAAGATGGTGTTGGCAGCTGATGTTGATATATTAGGGTTAGAAAACCCTAATCTAGGATGATCTGGGCCATTGATCTTTCTCCAGATCTAACGATTGGGTTAAAGGCGGCTAGGGTGAATAGGGTGAAACCCTAGCTGAGTTGGGTCCTTTGTTTGGGTTTGGTACTGGGTCAGGTTAAGCTGGATGTTGTAATTGGGCTCCGAGATTGGGCCTGTAGATTGGGGCTGCTGGGTTGGCCTATAACAAAAATGTAAATATAAATTAATAATAATAATAATAATGAAATAATAATAATAATATAATAATATTACTAATAAAAAGGCTCGGACAAAAACGGGTGTCTACAGCTGCCCCTCTTTGCATATTCTTGTGTTAACAAGAATAGGGCAAAGACGAAAAAACATCACGTTTTTGTCTGGTTCTCTCCCTTTTAAACTTAGAAATTGGATAATGTTAGTTGTTGGGGACGACATTACTCATATGTGATGAAGAGTTCGGGTCGTCTAAGGGTGACACGGTTCCTACGTGATGAGGAAATCTGGTCGAGGGATGACACTTCTCATACGTGATGAAGAGTTCTTGGTCATCTTTATGAAGGGTGATAACTCAGTTCCTACGCAATGAGGACTACTGGTTATCTATAGG